CTAGTGAGACCAGCGGGCTCTGGACAGGGACTCCGGAGCCTGCATTGCACGGCCTCACTCGTCTGGGGGGCGGGTCGGAGGACAACCGACTCGCCCCTCCGTTGGCGCGGGAGCCCTGGCGTAAGCTAGGGCCCGGCCGCCCTAGCTTACGCCAGGGCGTCGTGGTGAATGCTCACTGATCCCACGGCGCCGACTCAACCGGCGAGAGGGAAACCCGGGGGGGTTTTAGTGGGGTAGGCCCTCCAGTCTGGAGGGAGAGTCCCCACATAACCCCTGAGTCTCCCTGGGCTCAGGGGTATCCATAAAGATTTCCCCCCGTCAAAAAAAAAAAAAAAAAAAAGTTTTAATGCGGCTAAAACACAGGCGTGTCTTTTCTCATCAAAACGGAGTCCCCCACACCTTACTCCGACTTTCCGAGGTGTATCCGTGCCGTTAAGGGACCACCTTGAGCTACTTGGTCTGGACTTATCATCCAACCTCAACTTTGGGCGATACATCGAGTGCTTGGCAAAAACTGCTGCCAGAAAACTAGGCATACTTTTCAAGGTCAGGCGGTACTTCACACCTGAACAGCTTTTAAATCTGTATAAAGCACAAGTTCGATCCTGTATGGAGTACTGCTGCCACCTTTGGGACGGCTCTGCCCAATACCAGTTAGCTGCCTTGGACTCGGTGGAGCGTAAAGCAAAGAGACTTATTAACAATAATCCTCTTGTGGAGTCGAAGCTCCAAAATCTCGATCATCGCAGAAAAGTAGCCTGCTTGTCGGTTTTCTATCGGATACATTTCGGGGAGTGTGCGCAGGAACTTTTCAATTTGGTTCCGCCCTCACCGTTCCTCCTTCGGTCGACTAGAAGGTCCGGAGCACTCCATTCTTATGTCGTTGATATTCCACCTATTCGCACTAAGCGCTTTGCCTCCTCCTTTCTGATGCGTACGGCAAAGGAATGGAATGCATGCAATGTATTTCCCGAAAAGTACAATTTGGGGCTATTCAAGGCTAGAGTGAATAGGCATTTTTTAGGCAAACGCGTCCCATCGTCGGTCACATCGTCGCTTAACATCAGGTGAGATTGCGGCCAAGCGTGTGTCTATTATATATATAAAAAAAAAAAACTCAAAGTATATTGAGAGAGAAAAACGCCTTGAATTGGAGAATAGCAAAACCAACCATTAAAATAATTACTCCTCAAGTAAAATTTAGGCGCTATTTATAAAAATGAATGTTCATGCGTGATCAGCCACCCTTTAGAGGTGGATGATTTTCTTCAAAATGAAATGGGTACCCTCTTTCCAACAAAAAAAGCATCATGAAAATCGGTTCCCAAATACCGGAGTTATCGCGCAACATGCATAAAAAAAAATTCGAATTGTGAACCTCCTTTCTTTTTTTGAAGTCGATTGAAAAATAAGCAATGTATTCCTCCATTACATTTAGTGAACAATACAATTTATTTTTGTAGATTTTTCTTTGATAATAGACATAATAACACACATGATATTCAATCAACTTGAAAATTACAATTATTAAGGTGACATCTCTAGTCAACCGCTGGTACTTGTAAAGGTACTTGGCTGAATGAAGAAATAGATACCTCACAGATGGCGCTACGGCAAAAAGTCGTTAAAAACCAAAATAAAGATCTGCAACAAGCACAGAAAAATTCGAAACGTCTGGTGGTTCGTGCCGTTGCTCAGTTGGCAGAGCGTCTCTCAACGGATTTTTTGTTAGTGTTCGAACTTTGTTTTAATAATTATAATAACGATCTAGAGGACGAAGTTCGAAACGATGGTGTGACCAGGTAGTCAGCTACATCAGAAATCTGGCAGTGCTGGTGAATGTCGCACTTAACCTGGGCGAAGACAGAGTGGAGTGGAGAAGATTTATTGACGGTGTACTTGCTCCGAGTCACGATTCTCAGCAGTGAGGGATCGATGGAGGGGAAGGAGGAGGAGACTACAATAATAATAATTTCTGTTCCAAAAAGCCTCATAATAAATACATAAATACTTGACGTCGAGTTGCGGACACCAGCCCGTTACACCAAGTACCAAGTAGGTACAGTACACTTATGTGAATGACGGTAAGTAAGCATTGCATGTTTCTTTGTAAAAGGTTGGCGTTGATAGAGCACAGCCGCTGACTAAAATAGAACTTTCTGAGCTTTAACCAGAAGTATTTGATGATTATTACAAGGCGAAGCTTATATAGACTGGTAATAATAAAAAGTTGCAGCTAAAAAAAACTAGTTTTTCTGTTAGTGTTTTTACTAAATGGTTCAAATTGTCACAACAACATTTCTTAAAATTTAAAATGTTTAAAATTTAAAATTTTTAGAATTTCAGTGAATAGCGACATCTCTAGCCGGGGCTGGCAGAAGTAAAGGTATCTAACTGGGTGACGAAATACTGTCATAGATTTCTCATAGATGGCGCTACGACTAAAATGTCGTTGAAAATATAAAGACACGACAAACAAGGACAAAGAAAAATTTGTGAGGTGCGCTGGTTTGTTCCGTGGCTTAATTGGTATAGCGTCTGGCACGGTATGCTAGAAGACGTCGGTTAGAATCCGGCCGGATCGAAGGATTTTTTTCTGAGTGTTCGTTCTTTGTATTTCTTAAAATGTTGATAAAACTAAACTAATTTTGTTATTTAAACAAGTCTGTACCAATCTCATAAATATATTTATTTTTGTTAACATTGTAACTTTAGTGCCATTGGAAACACATCATTATATATTTTTAAAATGGCGTCTAAGGTTTGCACCAAAATTTGAACGTCAAAAAACCAGCACACTAACACATAAACGATATTGCAAAATCTATATCAGAATAAGTCACCTAAATAGTGTAGCAAGATGCAATGTGCCCATTATATTAGGCGGTGGTAACCAATGACCACCAGTCGTTAATCACCTGTGTTGCTATTTAGTGAACACCATGAAGAACACAATACTGGTAAGTTTTAATTTACTTAATTTAATATCGCAGTAATTAAATTAAATGTCTAACTAATTTAGAGAAATGTCTCTCTATTTAATTAATGCTTCTTAGAAATTACTTTGGACTTAATTTAACAATTTATTGTATTTAATATTTTTTATTTTTTATTATATTATACCACACATTCAGAGCGTGGAATGGTTTAAAAGTGTTGTCTATTTTGATGGTATTATTTCTTTTTATACTTACGTTATTCGTTACTAAACATGCTTTCATAAATATGAGTAAATTTGTTCCTATTTACTGAATTATTTTAAAGTGTGTATCGACTTCGACAGGTGAAGTGTTGTTTGTCTACCTAGTGCAATGTAGTCAGCTTTATCATACTGTTTATTTTATAATAATACTGAAAATTCCAGATAACACTCTTCCTTATCGTGCACACATCCAGAGCAACCCTGGACATTGACCAGTTAACACAGGATGTCGCTACAAAAGTTCAAACAATAAAGGACAAAGCTACAGCCGGCTTCCAACAATTCGTAGACACTATCGACTTCGACAAAGTCAAACAATTGGACATACTAGGAATTGTTCCTAAAGTACAGAAGAAGATTGAATTTAAGAAAAACATTTTGTCGAAAAAGCATGAGTTTAAACAAAAATTGTTCGAACAAAAACAGCAGTTAGCTCAAAATTTGATAGCACAGAAACAACAATTATTTGCACAAAAGCAAAAACTGCTAGCCAAGAAACATCAAACGTTAGAAGATATAGGTAAAAAACTTCTGGATGAGAAGCAGAAATTGATTGAACAAAAACATAGGAAATTGAAAGAAATAGGGACTGTACTGATTGGAGGAAAGAAATTAGAGAAAGTGACTTTGATAGTGCCACCACCGCCGAAACATTTGAAATATGGAGAACAACTGAGGAGTCCCCCATACTATATTGTTCGGAAGACTTACAAAATTTATGACTAATTTAAACTTAGGACTCAAATAGGACAATATGAGAAACAAAAGCCATCTTTAAAGCCAATTTTGTACTAAAAATGTGCTTGGAAGATTCCAAGACTTAACATGCATAGCATGATAGTAATAATTAGCAAAACTTTGATGGGTAGGCTACTCAAAAAGTCCTATAGGATACCAAGCCATCTGATAACGAGCTGGATACTACAACATAAAAGAGTCCGATGACGGCCGAAGATAAAGGCCCAGTTGAGAAAGACTGACTTTAAATAGCCACCGAATGGCAATGGCAAATGAGAAACCCCAAGAAAATGAAGCCACTTGCAATTTTTAAATATAACCATAACCCTCAAAGCTTAACAAAGAAGCAAGATCAAAGATCTTACATTAAATTGAAGTCCACTGCAATTTACTGTCTTTTTTCAAAAGATAAATTGCCGCTTAACGCTCAATTCCAATATCGGTTCCAAAATATAAACCTACATAATAGCATTAAACACAAATATAATTAGAATTCTATTAAGGATTTGAGAGTCGTGAATGAAATGGATAGTGTATGTGTGTTGAATTTGCAAGTATACAAAGAAGATTATAATTACTACCGGACATCATTATAATGCAAAAGTCACAGGATGTTACAACCGCTCGTTAGCCTAGTAACATACAAGCTCGTACCTGGGTAAGACCATGGAAAGAATTGATAAAAAAACACGCTAAAGATTGATAGTTTGTAATTATAAACTTTTTTGACGTGTATACTTTTTTAACGTGTTGTTATAATGATGTAAAATGTAGTCTTAAATTTTGCCATACAACCATGACCATATTTATTAGAACTGATGTTTTTTCTTATGAAAATGTTCAGAAAGCTCCCAGAAATAAAATAAAATAAAATGCACAAAAACCTTTGTTTCTTAGCCAATATAAATTATAATGACATATGCTAAGATAATCTTCCTTTATAATATGTTTTTATTAAGAGAATAAAACTTTTCTACATTTTTGTATAATTAATATTTATTTCTCTATCTATAATATACGATACATCATAAAATAGAACATAACGATATACAAATAAACCTTATTTACCAATATTAAGATCATTTATCAGTTTGTCGAAAACATCATCGACGTCACAAGTATGTTTTGGTATGAATTCATCCATTGCTCCATTTTGAAAGTCACCAAAGTCGTCAACAGCTGTCGTAGTCATATCTGCCAAACCTAATTCTGTTAAAAGTGTCAAGTTATCATGACTTTTAACTGTTTTCTCATTATCGATATCAGTATCGAGTTCTGCTAGTAGCTTTTCAGACGATTCAGAGCTATCCTTGTCTTTGTTTTGACGACGGTTTAAATATTTTGGTTCTTTCATCTCAGTGTCTGATAAGTCATGGTACTCTTGAATTTCTTTGGCATATTCTATTTCTTCTTCGTCTTCAGGATTGTCCTATAAATAAAAAAATATTCATTATTACGGGTGTACCAGATACACAAAGAAATAACTTGATTTGAAATCAAGTGTTAAAAAGACACGAAGTGCGAAAAAATGTTACCGAAGTAATTGGTCCTGTTGATTTGTACTGGAAGGCATTCTGTGATAGATCCACTTCGACGGGGAAAAGCGTAGCGTTTTCTTTTAGGTGTTCGACGCTTTCACTGTAAATAAAAAATCTGTTACACTATTTTCATTGACGATAAATTGCTGATAACTTGGTTATTTCGTAGCCCAGCGAGTAAAAGAGGATTTTTGAATAAAAACTCACTTATGATAAACTGCAAGCCCCTGGATAAACCTACGGAGTTGGTATGCGACGTCTTGCGTCTTCTTGTTGTCGAGCAACTCCAGTTTCACAAGAACGTCGGATCGCAGACGCGCGAAACGTGATCTTGCCTCTTGACGACAACGAAGAATCAACCTAAAAGTTAAAGAATAAAAATGCTCATCGGTATTGGGACTTATGTCTTCGATTCATCACTAGAAATGAACTACCCCTGGCCCCTTTGCACTTGCAATAAAACCACTCCTATGTTAATCTTTACAAGGTCATCGCTTCACCTAGTAGAAAGCTGTTAAAGATAATCCGAGTCTACCAGTTTGTGGTCTCAGACAAACAATTTTATTAGTTCTTATTTATTGTTTATTGCTATTACAACTTGATATGACCTTGAATTTTATCGGCGACTATAGTTCTACGGATGTTTTAGGTTTTCTGTTTTCCTCACTCGTTGAAGGCTTAAAAACTTACCTATATTCATAATTCCCAGTTTCAACCCTGTACAAAGGCTCTTGTAAGGCATTGTAACCATATTCCTCGTCATCCATTTCCTTCACTTTGAGACAATACGAGAGATACTCGAACTTTGTATCCGCATATTTACGGATTGTTAGTTTTGTGTCTGGGATCGCTTTGTTTAGATAAGTGCCCATGTCTGCTAGAATCTGAAATGTAGTTCCAGAAGCCTTTGAAAAATTTAGCCTTTAAAATTTTAATTCCTGTGACTTTGCAACACTGCAATTTAAATACCAGTTATGTGATCGACGGAAGGTTTAAAGAAAATTTGAATATTTTGTAAGTGAATCAGCGTGTGGCACTCTTGATTAAGCCCGTAATAATAAGTACCTACATCTACGATCACACCTTCAATCCAAGTCAAACGCGACCAATTTAGCGATTGACAAACGAAATATACGTGATACACGATCAGCAAAAGAACTACTACAAAATAAGTATCAAAAGAATCTTACAGGTTTTAAAGCCTTCAGCATTTTAATACCATCACGTTCCAACAGTCTGTGATATTGGCCAAACTTCGTGAATGCTTCTGAAGCTCTTGCCTGAGGCTCTCTCACTCCTATGGCTGCAAATATGTCACCTATTGACTTGTATGTTTGAAGTAGGTCGAAGTAGGATTTTAACATTCTGGAAAAAACAGAAAATTTGTTTCTATTTATGAAAAGGAAATAATCTCTCATATACAACTTTCATGTTTAAAACTTCGTAAAGGATCAAAATTGGAATTACTTTTAATGTTTGGAATTCTACAAATTTTGTAATATTTATGTTTGAAAAGTGCCGTTATTCGGCGTGGTCTACATCCTTTGCCCATCACTTCTTCGGCTTCCTCGGGCCCTTCTTATATAACGGATGTAATGGTGATTTACATATTTATCCTCTAAACAAGTTTGAATGTAAGAATGTGGTCACTAAAAGGCTATTGACTTTGTCATATGAGGAAACCGAAAACCTCCTTCATGTTCCGTTATAGTTAATTCCCACACACACAAACACACACTCTCACTCACACACACACGCACACAAACACACACTCACACACACACACATACACACACACACACACACACAACAAAATACTTACCCTCTAGTCTTGAATTTTATTTATATCTATAATTTTTTGATTTGTATAAACTAAATTTTGGATTAACTTTCTCTCATAGCAATCATTCGTCACGCAGTCAATGTCTTATTGATACTTTATCCGTAGGCGGAGGCCTGGAGACCTATAGCACAGGATATCCTAGTTTAGGCTCCAGCCTTCACAGACAACAAATGTTTTATTACTTAAGAATGTTTAATTATTGAAATTGTGTGTGAAGGAAATAAACTTATTATTATTATATTATTATTATTAAAATGAGACGCATACTAAAGGCATTTTGACCACGTCTGTCAACGTAGAAATCATAAGTCTGCGGAATAGCTTATTATGGATTTCTAAAGCGAGGTTTGTGTGTTAACAATATCTATATTCTTCTTGAAAATAGTAACTCACCTTTTGGCATGTTCAACAAGTCTTTTATAAGTGCTTTCAGTATCCCTTAATTCATTCAGCTTGGCAACCAGTGTGTCATTGCACAGAATAGCTCTAGACAAACCCAAAGCATCAGCCGCTCCTGATGACATGTTTTCGACTAGTCGATGTTTGATCTTCTTCATGATTATATCTAGGCTTTTGCCTTGTTTTGGATCTGCGTGAAGTTTGTTGTAGTTTATTGTTACTTCATCCTGAAAGGGAAATAATGAGACTATATTCTTTGCGATTTCATTTTTGATGTTACAATACAATAACCTCAGTACAGAATACTAAAAAAACCGACCTCAAAAGTACGTGGATTTACGCCTATTTGCTAAGTTTTATTGAAATATCCCCTAGTTCGCCACTATACAGGACTTGACACTGGAGATAATAAAAATAGGTTCTCACTACGACACTACACAAAGTATATTGAGAGAAAAACGCCTTGAATTGGAGAAATAGCAAAATCAACCATTAAAGTAATGTCCTAAATTGAAGTTAGGCGCTATTTATAAAAATGAATCTTCATGCGTGAGCAGCCACCCTTCGCGGTGGATGATTTTCTTCAAAATAAAATGGGACCACTATGGAAGTACCCCCTTTCCAACAAAAAAAGAATCCTGAAAATCGGTTCACAAATACCGGAGTTATCGCGTAATATACATACAAAAAAAAAAGAAAAAAAAAACATACAGTCGAATTGAGAACCTCCTCCTTTTTTGAAGTCGGTTAAAAACGTTGTGAAATCCTTAAACAGAATTGATAAGTCGTTGTTACTATATCTATATTTATTGAACAAAATTCAAATGCACAAAGATCAATACAAATCTAACTATATTTTAATCTTACTTATAACTTTGTATAATTGTTTAGCATGATTAATCATAATTTACAATGTTACAATTATCTTCTTCAGTTATTGCTATAGATACTATAGGTAATGTTACTATATGTCTTTACTAATGACTCTTTTTCAGAGCGTGATTTTAGGAGGTAATTCAAACCTTAGCAGATTGTATCATCTTCGCAACTTCAACTTTAGTCTTTCCTTTTACAGTCTGTCCATTGACTCCAACCAACTCATCACCGCTTTGAAGCGTACCTTCTTTCGAAGCTGGGGTATTGTCGAATATCTGAAAAGTAGATATACCACATGAAGCCAGTCAAATTATATAAGTTGATAAGAAGTTCTTGAATAGTTTCAAATGTATAAACTGACATGTTACGATTTAGGACAGTTTTTTGGTCATATGAGTTCTACAGTAACTAAATTTTATCCACTAATAAAGTTCGACCTTAAGTACTGATACATAAGAACTTAGTTTTTACACATACCTGTACAATGTAGAGACAGGGACACAAAGGAGCTCCACCGCCAATACTGATTCCGATGAGATTCTTCTCATCCTTGGCGAGTGTCACGCTGCCAGATGTTACTGTCATGCCCCTGAAACATCACCATTATTTTATTATCATGACATTGAAGGTTGACAATACGAAGTAAAGGCGTCAAACAGAATCGCCCACGATGAACTAAACTACAGGTTTTCTTACCCATTGGTACCAAATTTATCCGTAGTAAGATAATTCATTAATTGGAGTCAGGTGTGTACTGATAAGACGCTAGTGATTTGCCCGAGGAGAAAATGGATGAAATAGTGACCAATAATGGTAACCTGTAAATCATGATAGTGTTCTTACAGTTGGGTAAGTGTAAGGGCAAGCCTAGTGACTCAGTCAACCCCGTTACTATGATAACATTGCCTACATTAGATCTGAGGGGCATGGGAAAAAACGCTTTCGACAACTACCTTGAAGGAGTGATTTCAATATAAGTATATTAAAAAATCCAAATAAAATTGACTGTAGACCATTGACTTACAATTATATGGACGTCGGGTCCTCGCTAAAAAGTGTCCGAACTTATAGGGCGTTAAAATCGCATACAGAGCGTCATTCACGCTTTAGTCTTCGTTTGTTCGACTGACAGCGAAGCAAGCAAAATTAGACAGTACTGCGATGACATTACAATTTAAATTCAACGTTTTAGCTTTTTCATATTCCTTTACATGTCACTACGTTTAAATAGGTTGACTTGGGACATTTTTTTCGTGGTTTTTGTATTAGGCCCGTCGTCCATTTATTTGTAAGTCAATGCTGTAGACACTTAGTTTTGATAATTGTGATGCAACCGACAAATAAATGACGGTCTCTTCCATTGCATGCTTCGCGGCTTAAGGCATTTTCAAACCAGTTTTCGGCCTCTCGCGCCGCATTTTGCACTGATCACATCCGTTGACTTCAGACTCTTTTTTGTCCGATTTGAAGTCTTCAATCTTAATTCTGTTCCATCGGACACCACGTCGAATGCTGGGCGATGTTTTATTAAGACCGGAAAAATAAGGTCCACCCGTCACTTTTTATCCAAACTTGTAAAATTTCGTGATAACTTTCTCGGTTGTCAAAAGAACCAGGCGTGTCATGAGTACAAATTTAATCTGCATCTGTATATATTCGTATGTGTCACTGTTGGGCATTGGTTTCACGAGGATCAGCTATTTAATTTGAAAAGTGTATGTGTAATTAGCATCTATAGATTTGAAAACTGCCTGAATTTATATATTTAATCTATTTTTAAAAAAATGTAATTGAAATATTTTGAAAATTGAAAATCATTCTTGCAGTTTCCAATTATTTTCCCCGCTATTAACTAAATCTAGCAATGCAAATGCTAGCTAAGGTAAATGTTCAAATAAAAGAAAAATATGATTTTTCATTATTTATTAATAGCCAATAATGTAAATAATATTTTTTATGGAAAATACGCAATAATATCTGGTTACTTATAATAAAATACTAGCTGTACTCTAATCTTGGATTGCAAATCTGTAAACAAATCACATTAAACAAATATCAATATAAAACTATTTATTAAGCTACATAATGCATTTATGTGCGACTATTATCTTGTATGTACGTCCCATTGTTCGGTATAGACGTCTAAGGAAAGGATACAGAGACGCTAGCGTGGGGACATTACACAGTTGTAATTACTGATTTGGAATTAAGTTTCAAACTCTACTTCACTATCTAGCTAGAAAGCTAAGCTAGATCACTCAGAATACCTTCAAATATTAACTCACATCAAATCTTGATGGTGTATCAAGAATCTTTCCGTGCGCATATCGTTGAAAATACAATTTGTTTCAAAGTCTGCGACATCTTTTAGTTGCCTGTGGGAAATTTAAGAGCAATGTTAATTTAAAAAGTCTTAACTACACTTTCACATTTGACTACAAGGCGCTTGTGACCCAGTATTCTCCCAATGCGGACTTCACTTTATTGTTATGTGAATAATAATAATAATAACGTCACACTCAACATAGCCCTGCATTAGGGAAACCCTGTGTCGCGGGTGCCATGGACACACACATAGACAACTACAAATTACACCCAAACTCACGGGAGAAATAAATGTAGGCCATACAAATATTTCTCCCATCCCGGGAATCGAACCTGAGACCTCTGCGTGGCAGTCCGGCATGGTAACCATTCGACCACGGCGGCAGTTAAATAATGGGTGTGTGTCTGCTCAATGTCATATACACCGTGACATTTATTAGATTTATTTTATATATGTATACGTATGTATGTGCTATACAGTCATAACAATTACCATTGGTCTTAAACCAAGAAATACTGTCTACTTTCAGTGCCAAAATAAGGAAATTAACTCTAGGTGTGCCAGCTAGACTAATTTTGCTAGACCTAATTTGTAAAAAGTAGGTAGGATCAATTCGGGCAATATACTTTCTAAATTGGTTCTGATCAGTCTGATTTGGAAATCTTATTATTATTATACCACTTCCAATGAGAAAGAGGAGAGCTTAAACCATTGGTTCTGATCTGAGTGGTTTAGGTAGTGTCCTGAAGTGAATTCGTGGTTTAGGTGGGTACTCATAGTACAGGAAAGCGCCTAGTTTCAGATCATGTTATGGGTGTCTGGCAGATTTCTCAATATCACATAAACCTTGTCGATCATGCATTCTTCTTCTATATTTTCTTTCATAGTTGAAGTGATTAGGAAACAATATGGATATACATGCACATATACAAGAGTTTGTAATCACGGCCAGGAAATACAGAATAAAACACAAGATATAATTGCCTGTTCGTAATTCTGCTAAAGATTTGGAAAAATAAAAAATCACCAAGACCTTACAGCAGGATCTGAAATACAAACTTGTTTGACATGTTCCAATAAATAGCATGTATTAGTTTTTTCAAATAAACGAACACTTGGTCCCTTTACAAGTTGGTCGTACACGGTTATAGCGGTCATTAGTGGTGAAGGATTCATGTATATAAAACAAGAGCCCCAGTGGCCTGTTGAAACAAAATATTGTCCAACTGTGTAGTACATGTTGAACCGTACCTTCTCAAATGTCCACCATTTGTCTTTTTTTATAACATTAAGTGACGGGACGAACAATCGTGCGCCGTGCCACCTAGGGCTTTAAATCGCAAAGATCTGAGGCACTGCCACTGCGCCCGTCACCATGAGACATAAGTAGACAAGTCATGTGCCTGTACCCTGTAATTTCACCAGCACCCTTACCCTTCAAAACCGCTTGGCGGCAGAATTAGGTAAGGTGGCAATATTACCTTGGATCACCTTTTTCACAAGGAGCTCTACTGCTACTAATTTGTCTCTGGTGGCCGTAATTATAAACAATTTAAACCAAAATATCTGACAAACGTAACAAGCCAAAGCAGGCAGATGTAAAGTAAGTAGCAGAAGAATATATATTTCTACCGCCAAACGTAATGTGAACATTACTGCGTTCCGGTTTTAAAATGTAAGGGTGCTAGTGAAATTACAGACACATGACACTTGTCAACTTATTCTCAGGGTAACGGGCGTAGTACCTCACAGATCTTTGTGATTTAAACATTTAAAGCCCTGAGTGGCATTGCAACTGTTATGGACAAACGTGTCGCTTACCACCAGCACGACATGTTCATTCAGTCCCTTGGTATCATAAAAAAAAGTAACCTACAATCAATGTTAAAGGTATGCCAGTGACTGTTATGCCTATAATTCCTGGTATGTCAGCTGCTGACATTCGTATTTTGGGGACTTGACTAAAGATGAGTTTGTGTTTTTAAATTCAATACCATGGCACTTATGTTGACATTCCAGGAACCAAGGTACTAAAAAACTAAAGCCAAGGGTGCTGTAGACTAGCTTGCCCTATAATATTATTAAATAGAAACTTGAAAACTACATGTACTTACTCTTCAACAATCTTGATTTCATGAATATTTTCAGCTATTTCTTGAGTTTTCGAAGCACTGCACCAAAATAGACGGTTTTTTTAATAACAAAATGAAACATCGGTTCTTTTATACACATAATGTAGTTCTTGCCTTCTTACCTTTGTTCAATATCAACAAGTAACTTTGAATCTGATTTACTATCCAAAGGCTTGCTAAATTGAAGAAAAAGAAAATGATAATAATAAATAGCCAAAAAATTGTAAAAGAACAAATCAAGAAGCGGTAATACAGTTTAATGTAAATATGTATATACAAACTCATGGTTTATTTAAAAAAATTTCATGTGGTACTACCAGACGCAATTAATCAATGAAAAAAATCGATGAAAGTACGAAAAAAAGGTAAGTTAAGGAATGAACAACGTGACGAAGGTGATGCAAGACGCAAGGAAGAAAACGTCATTGTGCACCGAGCCCAAATAAAAGGTCATGGGCAACAGAATAAGAAAATTACGGACGAAACGGATGCATTGCTGAAAGATGATATTATATATATGGAAGAATTAAACAAGAGTGATAGAGACGAACGTAATGAAATGACTCTGCGTCGACCTCAAATGATATGACAAATGACGGTTGAACCTGAGCCTGAAAGCGGCTTCCGACTGGGGAGACGCGAACAGGGTCAGGTTTAATGCGATTAAAACACAGGCGTGTCTTTTGTCGTTAAAACGGAGTCCCCTACACCTTACTCCGACTTTCCGACATGTATCTGTGCCGATAAGTGACCACCTTGAGCTACTTGGTCTGGACTTATCATCCAACCTCAATTTTGGGCGATACATCGAGTGCTTGACAAAAACTGCTGCCAAAAAACTAGGCATACTTTTCAAGGTCAGGCGGTACTTCACACCAGAACAGCTTTTAAATTTGTATAAAGCACAAGTTCGATCGTGTATGGAGTACTACCGCCACCTTTGGGACGGCTCTGCTCATTACCAGTTAGCTGCCTTGGACTCGGTGGAGCGAAAAGCAAAGAGACTTATTAACAACAATTCTCTTGTGGAGCCGAAGCTACAAAATCTCGACCATCGCAGAAAAGTAGCCTGCTTGTCGGTTTTCTATCGGATACATTTTGGGGGAATGTGCGCAGGAACTTTTCAATTTAGTTCTATCCTCACCGTTCCTCCTTCGGTCAACTAGAAGGTCCGGAACACTCCATCCTTAAGTCGTTGGTATACCACCAATTCTCAGTAATCGCTTTGCTTCCTCCTTTCTGATGCGTGCGGTAAAGGAATGGAATACTTTACCAGAGTCTGTGTTTCTCGAAACGTACAATTTGGGGCCATTTACGGCTAGAGTGAATAGGTATTTTTTAGGCAAACGCATTCCATCGTCGGTCACATCGTCGCTTAACATCAGGCGAGATTGTGACCAAGTGTGTGCCTATTATATATTAAAAAGACAAAACTAACTCTTACTAAAGATATTACAATGTTTCTCAGTACTGTGTACTGAGCTTTCGCTGTGCATTATCGTTAATATATACGTACAACTAAGTAAATAAGTAAAATTGTTTTTACATTTTATCTTCAAATAAAGCATGACTCCACGGGTCGAGTAATTGTGGATAAATCCTGGGATCATTGAACGGGAACTGATTGTATTGCCACATACTGACGAGCAAAATATTTTATTGTTCACAAAGCACAAACACAAAAATACTGCAAAACACCAACTTCAGACTATCGGGTACAAATAAAAGATAACTCTGCAACATAGACAGGAAACACGTAAGCGATAATAACTTTAGAGATAACACAAAACACCCTCAAATGTTAATTATTTTACACTACGTACATTTTGTCCTCCTCGAAAAAGAAATCGTCATCGTATTCCTGCATCATTTTGTTTGTTAGTGTAACTAAAAACTATTCTTTTGTAGCAATTTTTCTGTGAGCAAAACGTCACTTGAATTGTCAACATTATTGATTTTACGCGGAGTTTATATTTTAGGAGCTTCGGTCGGTAAAATAGTTCGCTTTTCCCGATGTGCTCGGCCAATGAGGAACGAGCATAGAAAATGGCGGCAAATTGCTTTTTTTTGTGTTACTTACGAAAAGCTGTATTGTGCCAAATTGTTTCGTATTAGTTTGAAACTTCTTTGGAATTATGAAGGCATTTGTGGATCATACCGAATTATGTGTAGTAGATGAAAAAAATTACGCAATTACTTTACTTAACAAACGATGTTTCTATACAAGAATTGTGTTTACCTTTAAGTTGGCCCGTAGGGTTGCGAGGCGTATTGAGGACGTTAGTTAGGCCTTCTACAGATACAGCATATGAGTCAACTACATCCATAAAGCTCTCAGCGCCCTACGGGTTATATATAACAATATATTTAGGATGCTGTTGCAGCTTGTCAAGCTTCTGCAGTGCATCGGAAATGTTTGCTAACTCTCGTGACTATGCGGCTATTATATTCAGGGTTATTACATATATAGTGTTATTACATTCAGGGTCTAGGGCTCGTTACATGAGTGCTGGACTCGAATGTCTATCGCTGAGAGAAAGAAGAATAATTATTAATAATTAACTGCCTCTGTGGCCGAACGGTTACCATGCCAAACTACCACACAGAGTGTGTGTCACTCTCGTGAGTTTCAGTGTAATTTGTGGTTGTCTATGTGTGTGTCCATGGCACCCGCGACACAGGGTTTTTCCTAGTGCGGGGCTATGTTGAGTGCATGCGTTATTATTATCATTTATAATACTAACCCTATTTTTCAGTGTTCTGTTGTCGGTATTCATTCATGTCCGAAATAAAAACTTTGAATTTGAATATATAAAATAAAACATATAAATTTAATACTTTAAAGCCTTACACTTCAAAGAGTCAGTGAATGGCAAAAGTTTACGTTGAGAAACTGAGAGTGACTTGAATCAAAGGTCACCTGCCTACCGCTAAGCGACTCTTTTTGGCGTAATAGTAACAATGCCATCTACACGAGAGTTAGCAATCATTCCCGATGCAATGCAGAAGCGTGCCAGCTGCAACAGCATCCTGAATATATTGTTATACAAAACTCATAGGGTGCTGAGGGCTTTATATGTGTAGTTGACCCATAGACTGCATACTTACGACTGACGGAATGCTTTCAATAACGCAGTCTTAACGTCGTCGTTAATACCTCAGACCTACGGGCCAACATCAAGGAAGTTACAATTTTTGCACAACAAGAAGAATAGTTCGTTGCCTCACCCATTGAATCAGAGACCACATAAATTGAACAAACGTATTTATTGCGAAGCAATTGATGACGAGTTAGTAATGTACAATGTAACGAGCTTTTGTTTGGTAAGCAGGTAATGACCAAATACGATAATTAGCATTCGGTTTTGTTAAAAAATTTCGTTAACAATGCAAGGTCATAAGTTAAAGAAAAAATAAGTTGTATAAGATTATTATTTATAAATAGTGTCGTAAGGCATGGACCTTTATGTTTGCAACGGCAAGGCGATTAAGTAAGCAAACCTGAACTGCTTTAATGTAGAAGTTGCGATACATCAGGTGGTCGTTCCGCCATCGCGCCAGTATCGTTTTGATAGTCAAGCGGGTCGGTTTTCCTTGTTTTTAATAATGAACAAGTTACTTGTGAGTATTTTTGTTAGGCGATTTTAATGAAATGTTCGTTGTACATGATTGTCTGAGTACAATTTTTTATAAAAGTGATAATGTAGAGTTCTAGTTTTCGTAAAAAGATACCATATAGGTAATGGTAATAATAAATTATACACCTGGGATATCGAACATTTTAGTGTCTTTTTTGTTTTAAGTATTAATAACAGGTTGTGTAGGAGATTGTGTGAAGTTACTCAAGTTAATCATCATTTATATATCCCACTGCTGGGCACGTGTCTCCTCTCAGGCGAAGATTTTAGGCCATAATCCGCTATGTTGACCCAATGCGGGTTGAGGACTTAAGCGTTTTCCGAGAGTTGTGAACCTTCTTCGACGTGCAGGTTTCGAAAATCTCATGGGTGCAAGCCCAGATTCGAACCCACGGTCTCTACTTGAGAAGTGGTAGGTCAAACCATTAGGTTAGCACGAAATTATTTCGATTCAAGTTAATAATAGTAGTAGAAAAGTTTTTCGTCCTTCGAGACAGGCTGAGGTGTCTAATTAGCCATTCTGCCAGATCTTGGATGGCAATTTTTCTTCAATAATTTAATTTTCTTAATTGTTTTTGCGGGAAATCGTTATATTTTTACGGTGGCCATTTTGAAAGTTCGATATTTAAGTTAAATAATTCGTGCATTATTACAAAAATTAGAACTTTAAAAAATATTTTTTTCCCACCAAAAATTCGACATTTTACTTTTTTCAGCTCATTAGTTTTGTACTCCTTTATCGACAAGTGATGTGCGGAGATCCAGTAGGTCCACTAGCAGGATTTATTCGAACTAATCTCATTGGCTACCCTGTTATTCACGACAAACAAATATGGATATTCGATCCAGATGTAGCTTTGAAAAGGAGGAGACAATTTATAGAACTTCATGGAGATAAAGGAGAGAAGTTGATCGAAAGACTTGGATTGGGAATCGATGGAAACGACGAAGAAAGATTGGAAAAGCAGAGACAAAGGGATGAAGGACATTTGGGTGGTTTAAACGCCTTGCAGCCTTAATTTTAATAAATTTTGAAACTGCATTTTAGAAGTAACTTAATGAAAATGACAGTTAAGGTGTTTTTGTAACTAAGGAGTCTTTGTAAATAAGGAATCAAAAGGATAAGGTAATTTTATTGTAACCGACTTCAAAAACAGATATCAATCGATTTCAATGATTCTTTTTTCTTGGAAATGGGGTACCTCAATAGTGGTCCCATACATATTTGAAGAAAATATTTCACCTCTAAGGATGGCAAATTAAAAGCTGAATCCGGTTTATTAGATTACATATAATACAGTCGGTGCCCTTATCTAGGTATCCACTATTTGTATAGCACGTAGTATAAATAGTGGATACCTAAGTGAGGGCACCGACACTACATGTAATTCCACAAACTTATGAGGTCGGTTTTTTTATGAAAAAGTTATCTGCACTTGAAGTTGGTTGTGGTCAACAAAATATAAAAAAAAAATAGGCTGTTTCGTATAAAAATATGTTATATGTAATTACATAGCACATTACATAGTACATTATGTTTGTATAATGTTTATAGTATGTGTAATATTCATAGTATTTAGATTTTGTCACGGTCTAATTACTGGTAAGCATATAGTTGTATAATGAAGAAGAATATTGGAATGTTATTAAATAACATCCGTATCTTTTCATGTAAAAACAAGCGTATTGTGTTATATACGCCTGTCCATAACAGTTGCAGTGCCACTCAGAGCTTTAAATCGTAAAGATCTGAGGGGCACTGCCACTGCGTCCGTCACCTTGAGACATAAATTTACAAGTCCCATGTGCCTGTAATTTCACCAGCACCCTTACCCTTCAAAACCGGAAGGCAGTAATGCTGATTACTGCTTGGCGGAAGAAATAGATAAGGTGGCAGTACTTCCCTCTACTGCTACTAAATTAGTCAATACCTACTACCTTTTTTTATACTTAAATTGAGTTACAAATTTCACATACTTTATGTCATCTTTAGACTTTCACACGAAGTTCACTGTGAGATGAGTGGAGTTCAATATAAGAAAGTTAGCAAGTATACTTAAATATAACATAAGTGGCCTTACCCCAAAAAGTATTCGCATAAATATTCGATGATTTATAAGCAGTTAAGTAATGTTTCATAAGGTTTACATGATTGAGGATTTACTACGTACACGTCCTCTCTCTTCGAGAATTTTGATGGGAGTGACGATGGAACGAAGCAAAGTAAGAATAACTAAGAAAAGGAGTTAAAGAACGATTTAAAAATTCAAAATTTCAGAATAAAGTGGCCAGGTACCAGAAAAGAGGGTGATAAAAGACGGGATGACGATGAAGGAGGTCGCATCGTAACAATTGCAGCTCCTTAGGGCTGTAGCTATATGATCAGTCTTTCTCATCTTCGATCTTCCCCGTTTTCTGGACCTAAGTTTCTTGAGATTTATCACGGCATATTCAATGTAGTCGGGAGGTCTCTTTCTCACATGCCATTACCACCTGATTATAGCCTGTAAATGAGTGCGATGTTACGATTAAAATTTTTATTGAATTGATATTCAATTATTTTTATGTGAAATTACTCCACTACTTTGTTATAATTATTAATACAAAGATCGAGCACTCAAAAAAAAAAATTCCTTCGATCCGGCCGGATTCGAACACCAACTAAGCCACGGAACGAATCACGAATTTTCCTATGTGTTTGCGTCGTATCTTTGTATTTTCAACGACTTTTGAGCCGTAGCGCCATCTATGACAAATCTATGATATTTCGTTACCCAGTTAGGTACCTTTACAGTTACCAGTCCCGGCTAGAGATGTCGCTATTCATTTATGTATTTAATTTTTTATTGAATCGATATTAAATTATTTTTATGTGAAATTACTCCATTAGTTTGTTATAATTGTTAATACAAAGATCGAACACTCAGAAAAAATATAGATATGTTATAATTTTGCGTTAAGTAGATGTGTGTGTAAATAAGACCTTGGTATTGCCTGATTTCTCTTGCGAAAGGAAATTGACTCATGTTTCAAGGCTGGATTGTTTATCTTATTATTTGTTTCTGCCTTAAAATACTTCAAAGTTGCTTATTTGGACTATAAAGTATAGTAGTAAGTCATACCTATTACGTACTACCGATCAATGACGTTTTTACGATACCATGTGATGGACGAACAAGCGTGCGCCTGGTGCTAAGCGATACTCCTGACTATAACAGTTGCAGTGCCACCCAGAGCTTTATGTCACAAAGATCAGTCGCCCGTCCTTCTGATACATAAGTTGATAAGTCCCATATGCCTGAAATGTTAGCAGCACCGTTAGCACCCATTACTGCTTGGCGGCAGAAATAAGTCAAATCAAATAAAATCAAAATAATCTTAATTTCATAGGTAAGCATTATTACATTTGAAATCGTCACATAGGTTAAACTCTACCGCTCATTCTTAAGGCAGATTCTTCTGAGAGGAATAAGCAATAAACTCTAAGGGTTGTTCATTGTAAATAACATTTGGACGCATTCAACATTTACAATATATATTTTTTTGCTTTGAAACATCAGAGATCGAGACTACCTCCATGAGTTAAACGGGTTGCTACCACGGATCTTTGTCATCCAAGTATGCAGAAGTTGCATAATAATAATAATAACCTTTAGTATAAAGTTTTTGTTTCACTGTTTGTGAACCAAGAACAGCTAATTTCTTTTTATTCCTCGTGTTAATGTTATGTCTGTCACTATTTTTCATAAATAAGTTACTATTCCTCTAAACATAAATTACATTTTCATAAATGTACTGTGACACTAGTGTAAGAAGGTTAATTTCCTTAAACTTATCTCTCAAAGATATTCTGGGGCCCGTTTCTGCAGGACAAAGATTCTATTGATAACGTCAGCATTACCCCAAAGCAAAATGTCGTATGTCATTAGACCGTGAAAGTAGCTGAAGTAAACCAATCTAGCGGTTTCGACGTCTGAAAATTTTTTTAATCGCGTAAACTGCAGAGCCGAGCCGTTTTGATAACTTACTTATATGGGGACCTCATTACAATTTAGCATCTAACGTTATACCATTAACGTTATTAAGTAAGGTGGCAGTACTTCCGTGGACGAGTTTTTCACCAGCAGCTCCACTGCTGACTTTACAAACTGTTTTGTGTATTGCGATTATTATTTTCGAGATATTACATACAACGTTACACGCTCCATAGTCACGGGTTGTTAATCATCCCGTGACCATGGAGCATGTAGCCGTTCCGAAACCCGTGACCATAGAGCACGTAACCGTTTATACCTGGAAAATAAACAACAACATACTATAGTTAGAAACCTGCAATTAGTGATAGGCATTGTTCGCGCCGATGCCAAGGTAGACGTCGCTTAGGTTAAGTTGACCTAACCTCATGTCCTTTAACGTTTATATTGCTATCATTTTTACCCTGCTGCAACTGAATTACATTTCGTGGTTGGGACAGTCTACCGTCCTGGGTTGTGTTTTACTGTGTTATTGTACTGTATTTAAATAATCTCTCATCATCATCGTAAGTGGTAGTCTCCTTTGATAGCCACCGCGCCTGTGGAACCACCACGCGTTCCACAGCATTTGTCGGAGAGCCTTAGGCTGATGCTAACAGATTGACTACATGTTTGCAGTTCATGCGTGAAGCCGTAATCAACATCATGCAGCCAAAACTACGACTGCATGAAGTTGTTAACGACTTCACGAATTAACTGCGAACTCGGCTGTACCACGTATGTATGTTAAACGTACCTGTAATTGTAAGCA